AAGAGTGCCTATGATCACCTGCTATCCTGTTCGTAATTAATTTACTGATTGCTTTTTAAATAGCTGTTAACTGTTGGAGTGTAGAAGAATAGTTTCCCTTTGGGCTACAAAATGCAGTGGAATATGCAGCTTTTATGAACCTTAACTTCCTTTATGCAGTTAGGATTGTTAAGTGAGGTAACTTGGAATCAGGATCTAAATAAGGTCTGTCCAGTGCTTCCAGGAGAAATTTACCTAAGGTAAGTCATCAATGCAAGCCACAGGGGTCAATACTAAGGTGACATTCACATAAAACGAACCTTTTTAAAGGGTATGCAATTAAATGATGCTTAGTATATTTACAATTTTGTGCAACTTTCCCTGCTATCAAGTTTGAAAATATTTTTATCACCCCGAAGAAGGCAGTCATCCCTCCTCCCCCTCCTCCGGCATCTGATCTAGGGGCAACCACTCATCTACTTCCTGTCTCTGTGGATTTGCCTTCCCTGGACACTGCATGTAAAGCTTGCTCTGTACAGAATTTAAGATATACTGGTATCCACACTGAGAAAAAGTGAAGAAGAAACAAGTGACATTCATTCTAATTTAATATATGTTATATGCAAGCCAAGAAATCTGGAGACCAACCACTTGGCCAACTGACTGGAAGAGATCTATATTTGTTCCTATCCCAAAGAAAGGTGACCCAACAGAGTGCGGAAACTATAGAACAATCTCACTGATTTCACATGCAAGCAAGATTTTACTGAAGATTATCCAAAAATGACTGGAACAGCACATCAGCAGAGAACTACCAGAAGTCCAGGCTGGGTTTAGAAGGGGTCGTGGTACTAGAGATATTGTAGCTGATGTTAGATGGATCTTAGCTGAAAGCAGAGAATACCAGAGGATTGTCTATCTGTGTTTCATTGACTAGGCAAAGGCATTTGACTGTGTGGATCATAACAAACTGTGGCTGACTCTGAGAAGAAAGGGAATCCCAGAACACTTGATCGTTCTAATGCGAAACTTATACTTGGACCAGGAGGCAGTCGTCAGAACAGAGCAAGGGAACACTGCATGGTTCAAAATTGGGAAAGGCGTACGCCAGGGATGCATCCTACCTCCATACCTTTTCAACCTATATGCAGAACAGATTATCTGGGAGGCTGGGCTCTATGAGGAGAAATGTGGTATCAAGATTGGTGGATGATTTATCAACAACCTGCATTATGCGGATGACACAACCCTGCTTGCTGAAACTGAAGAGGACCTGAAGCACCTGCTGCAGAGTGTCAAGGACTGCAGCCTCCAATATGGATTGAGGCTCAATGTCAAGAAGACAAAGATTCTCACCACTGGACCAATTGGCAGCATCAGGATGGATGGTGAAGAGATTGAGATTGTTCACAGCTTTAGTTTGCTTGGCTCCACAGTCAACCCTCTTGGCACCAGTAGCCAGGAAATTAAAAGGCGCATTGCCATGGAAAAGTCTGCTGTTAGGGACCTCTCCAAAGTACTGAAGAGCAATGGTGTCTCTCTGGAGACTAAGGTGCGTTTGGTACAGGCCATGGTCTTCACAATCACTTGTTATGCATCAGAGGGTTGGACAATGACCAAGGAGGATAGAAGGAGAATTGATGCCTTTGAGCTGTGGTGCTGGAGAAGAGTATTGAGAATACCATGGACTGCTAGGAAAACAAACAGATTCGTCCTGGAAAGGGTTAAATCGGGTGGCTACTTGGAAGCAAGGATTCTGAGGCTCCATCTAACATACTTTGGACATGTTGTGAGGAGAGACCGGTCCTTGGAGAAGGACATCATGCTTGGGAGAGTGGAGGGACAGCGCAGGAGGGAAAGGCCCTCTAAGAGGTGGATTGATTCAGTGACTGGGATAATCGGGATGGGAGTGTCGGAGACAGTGCGATTGGCACAGGACAGAGCAGAGTTTAGGGCTGTTGTACATAGGGTCGCTATGAGTCGCAAGCGACTCGACAGCTCATAACAACAACAATATATGCAGCCATCGATACATTAGAGGTATTCTCATGTCACATCATGCAATCAATATGAAAATTTTAATGAAATATTTTAGTCTTTTTTCCCATACTGTGTTTTTTGTTCTGTTTTGGTTTGTTTTTTTAATTAATCATCTAGTCATTCCCAGGAGGGCGCTGGCTGCCACTGCCCTGTTTGATTTGAATCTGGATCATCAAAGCTCAGATTCAAGGGGAGCTCTGGTGGCCTAGTGGCAAGAAACTGCACTGCAATCCCAGAGGTACACGGTTTGAATCCACCAGATGCTTTGCCGAAGAAGGAGGAGCAATATCCTCCTGTACTAGTCAGATCTGATTTGACAGTACACGCACACAAAATAATAATAAAAAATTTAAAAAAAACCGCTCAGATTCATACTGCATGGACTGTTCATATTGCCTATGCTCAGTCAGTAGACACGTGTGGGTGGGTGGTGGCTACCATATTGGCCAGATAAACAAATGCATTCTTTGTAGTTGCTTTTCTCTTAAGCCCCACAGAATTCCAGGGAATCTCTCCCTTCTTTTCCCTCTCCTTCCTATGTAGTTAACCTGTCTGGGGGTGAGTTTCTGCACATTCTGGGTCTTTTTTTCTTTGCTTCTTTCAATCTCATTGAACTTGCCCATCTGTCTTTCATACTTGATTATAAATGGACCTTGTATCTAGAGACTAATGAGATTGAAGTTATTTTTTATTTTTGTTTTGCTTTGTAAACTATTCCATGGAAGAGATTGCTCGCCTTTCTCCCTCGGAACTGCTGGTGGGACTGAACCACCAGAGAGGCATGGACTGTGTCTTAGCAATGCCAACTCTCTACAGACTATGCCAACGCAGCTTCCCTCTGTCTACTAGGGTTGGTCAGTGGGTCTAAGTTTTGACATCTGACTCTTCCTTTGGAAAGTTCTCCTTAAGACTTTTGCCTGACGATTTCAACACTCAGCCAGTGATCCTCACCTCAGAGAGGCGTTGTTGGCTACGTGTGCTGTCAAGTTGAGCTGACTCACAGCTGACCCTCCTGTAAATCACACAGAAGGTGATTGCTTTCCCTTGCGGAGCAACTGATGGATTTGAACCACCTGCCTTTGGATTGGCAGCACAACTCCTTACCCTCTAGGCCACCAGAGCTCTCTTCTCAGAGGAATAGTATCAAAGATATGGGGGGTATGGCATGTCCCTACGTGCCCCTGAAGGGGGCGCCACTGAGCATTTTCGTTAATCATTGCTGTTTCCATCACCAGCTATAAAAGACCATCGAGCAAGTGAAAACTAACACACTGGGGTTTAGGTTTTGTTTTTGTTTTTTTAATTTTTTTATTCATGTGTGTGTGTGTGTGTACCATCAAATCAGTTCTGACTGGTACAGGAGGAGATTGTCCCTCCTTCTCCAGCGGAGCATCTGGTGGATTCAAACTGCACACCTCTAGGATTGCAGTGCAGCTTCTTGCCCAACACGTTGGTTTTTAAGAGTCTCTGTGGGTCCAGGGAAGGAGCCCTGGTTACATTATGTGTTCGGCTCCTCATCTGAAAAGTCAGCTTTTTGGAACTACCCTGCTGCTCCTTGGAAGAGGTGAGGCAGTCTGTTCCCGTTGAGATTCATTCACAGTTGAGAAATCTGGTGAAAGTCAACCGGAATCAAGTAGGTTTGAGTGGGGCCAAGGGAGACTGAAATTCTGAGTGTAGAAGAAACTGGAGAGGAGGGACTAACTTTGAGCGGATGATAGACCAGTTTTCATCAGTGAAAACAAGGTAGATGCAGTTGGAATTTTCATATAATATGTTAACTAAAAGATTAAGGAGTATCACATATATCTCTGAGCTAATATGATGGGTTAACTGCCTAAAAGATGAACGTCAAATGTTCAGACAGGGGTACAATTTCAGTGCTTGCTGTAGGCACTATTTCCTGTAGGTACAGCCACTGCCTGGCCTGACTCTATTATCTTTTCAAAGTGATGGTTCCTACACTGAGCTCAGGCCCAGCTGGGGGGCTTTGTGGACCCAGATGCCAGGCCCCAGCCCCAGTCTGTGATTCACATGCCTTGGCTGCGTGGGCAGCACATTTCTAACAAGCTCCCAGGTGGGGCAGTCCTGGTGATGCTAATGCTACTGCGTCAGAGATGCGTTTGAGAACTATGGTGGCGTGGGGCTTGGTTGTGGATGTATTTTAATAAAAATAATCATTTTTTAAAAAAATTATTTTTTGTTTGTGTGTGTTTACCGTCAAATCAGATCTGAGTGGTACAGAAGGAGATTGTCCCTCCTTCTCCAGCAGAGAATCTGGTGGATTTGAACCATGCATCTCTGGGATTGCAGTACAGCTTCTTGCCACTAGACAACCAGAGCTCCCTAAAGATAATCTTTCTAATGGAGCATTTAGTATCCACTAGGGCAAGACTGGTGAGAAGGACCCAGCAGCTATTGTGTTCTTAGCCTTCTCATAAGTCACTTGCTGTACCAGTCCCTATACCTGCATCATCTCTCCCTACCCTTTACTGCTATCCATCTGAGCAAACAAAGAGATTCATCCTAGAGAGGGTTACACCAGGCTACTCTTTGGTGGCAAAGATTCTGGGGCTTCGTCTGACATACTTTGGACATGTTGCAAGGAGAGACAGGTCTTTGGAGAGGGACCTCATGCTTGGTAGAGTAGAGGGACAGCGCAGGAGGGGAAGACCCTCTATGAGGTGGATTGATTCAGTGACTGGGGTAATCGGGATGGGTGTGTCAGAGGCAATGCGATTGGCACAGGATAGAGCAGGGTTTAGGGCTGTTGTACATACGACTCGACGGCACATAACAACAACAACATCCGAGCAAACTAACATTCAGAGAAACCAAACTTCTTGCCTAAGGACACATAACAAGTAAATGGGTAACAGGTCTGGGTCCTCACGTGCCATGCCCTGTGGCTTCTGGGTGCGTGGACACTTCCTCTGTGCACTTGCAAGGGCTTCAGCCAACCTCCCCTCCCCTTCTGATTGCAGGGTGTTCTCCGCCTCCTCCCACCCTGGACTCACTTCCTGACCTGGACCTCCTCCCTCCGCCGCCCCCACCTGCGTACCTGCCTCCAGAGGAGGAGCCCCTTGGGCCAATGGGGTCATCAGTCATCGCTGACTTAGAGCAGCTACACCTGCCCCCGCCCCCACCCCCACCGCCATCACAGGTACCGCGGACCCCTTGGTCTCCAAAGCACCATGGGTTGGGAAAGGAGAGTCAGAGCCTTCTGGGCCTCAAGGATTATAAATCCGGATGTCTTTTGGTCCATTCTTCTGTGTCAGAGCATCCCCTATTTGGAGCTCTTTCAGGCCAAAATTAATCAAGTTTTCAAGGTCGCTCGTGGCATGGAGAAGGGACCCCATACCTTCTGCCCATTCAGTCACCTGCATCTGCTCTGAGGAAGACCTGTCCTGCTGTCTAAACAGAATCTTTCATAGTGCACAGGAAATGCATTTTCCACCTTCTGCCCTTCACAGAGATCCTTGTGGACTTGGGAAGGCAGGGAGAGAGAGGGCAGATTCCAGGCCAAGGGCTGAGTCTAACTCAGTCTGAGGCCCAGGAGAAAATCCCTTAGAAATAAAGGAAGTAGCTGTGTTTAATTGAGTAGCTGCTGGAACCTTCCCAGGTCACAGGTGCCTCTCTGGGCCTCAGTTTCCTCCACAGTACAGTGGATTCATCCTGCCTGCTGCCGAGACATGGCTGTAGCCAGGACCCAGGCTGAGCGGGTTTCCTAGGGTCCCAGTTGGACACATCCTCTTCTGACTTCTCTCTTTGTCTCTTAGGCCTCCACTGAAGGGTCTCCACTCCAGCCTCGGCTTGGTCACCTCAGACCCTCAGAAGAGGATCTGCCGCCTCCCCCAGAGGAGCCTGTTGGTGTGCCAGAGAGAGAGGCGTCCACAGGTACGGGCTAGTGGGCTCTGCAGTGGTCTCCAGGTGGGATCTAGGAGAGCAAGACCACCAGCAGCCACCCAGCTCATGGTACAGTGTTGAACCTTCTAGTTGGCTTTCGGTTTTATTTATGATCTTTTTTTTCCCCTTCAGAACTTTAATAACCTATTTAAATATTTACTTGCCAACTTTGCTGTATTAGCAAAAAATGTTTTATATTTTCATACATGATATTCTCACCTAGTACAAAATATAGGACACATCCCTGGCATACACCCTTCCCAGTTTTGAACCATACAGTGTTTCCTTGCTCTGTTCTGACAACTGCCTCTTGGTCCAAGTATAGGTTTCGCATTAGCACGATCAAGTGTTCTGGGATTCCCATTCTTCTCAGAGTCAGCCATAGTTTGTTATGATCCACACAGTCAAACACCTTTGCATAACCAATGAAACACAGATAGACATTCCTCTGGTACTCTCTGCTTTCAGCTAAGATCCATCTAACATTAGCTACAATGTCCCTAGTACCACGACCCCTTCTAAACCCAGCCTGGACTTCTGATATTCATGGCCTGTATCAAACGCACCTTAGTCTCCAGAGTTACACCATTGCTCTTCAGTACCCTGGAGAGGACCCTAACAGCAGATTTTCCCATCACAATACGTTTTTTTATTTCCTTGCTGCTGGTGCCAAGAGTGTTGACCATGGAGCCGAGCAAACTAAAGTTGTGAACAATCTCAATCTCTTCACCATCCATCCTGATGCTGCCACTTGGTCCAGTGGTGAGAATCTTTGTCTTCTTGACATTGAGCCTCAATCCATACTGAAGTCTTCAGTCCTTGACTCTCTGCAGCAAGTGCATTAGGTCCTCCTCAGTTTCAGCAAGCAGGGTTGTGTCATGTACATAACACAGATTGTTAATAGATCTTCCACCAATCCTGATGCCACACTTCTCCTCATAGAGCCCAGCCTCTCAGATAATCTGCTCTGCATACAGGTTGAAAAGGTATGGAGATAGGACACATCCCTGGCGTACACCTTTCCCAATTTTGACTGTTTGATAACTTCCACACTCTGTTGGGTCTCCTTTCTTCGGAATGAGAACAAATATAGATCTCTTCCAGTCAATTGGCCCAGTGGTTGTCCTACAGATTTCTTGACACAGCTTGGTGAGCACATCTAGGGCAGCATTTGTTAGTTGAAATATGTCAATTGGTATACCATCAATTCTTGGGGCCTTATTTTTTGCCAATTCCTTCAAAGCAGCTTGATCATCTTCCTTCATCACCTTAGGCTCTTGCTCATGTGTTGGGAAGGGTGTACGCCAGGGAGGTTTTCTAACTCCATGCTATTTCAAACTATATGCAGAACAGATTATCCGGGAAGCTGGGCTGTATGAGGAGGATTGAAGGAAGATTCATCAACAATCTGCGTTATGCAGATGACACAACCGTGTTTGCTGAACTGAAGAGGATGTTAAGAGCTTGCTGCAGAATGCCAAGGACTGCAGCCTTCAATATGGATTGAGGCTCAATATCAAGAAAACAAAGATTCTCACCACTGGACCAAGTGGCAGCATCAGGATGGATGGTGAAGAGATTGAGATTGTTCACAGCTTTAGTTTGCTTGGTTCCACAGTCAACACTCTTGGCCCCAGCAGCCAGGAAATTAAAAGACACATTGCAAAAAAAAACCAGACACATTGCAACAGGAAAGTCTGCTGTCAGGGACCTCTCCAAAGCACTGAAGAGCAATGGTGACACTCTGGAGACTAAGGTGTACCTGATACAGGCTCTGGTCTTTGCAAGAAGCAACATGTCCTTGGAGAAGGACGTCATGCTTGGGAGGGTAGAGGGACAGCACAGGAGAGGAAGACCCTCTAGGAGGTGGATTGACTCAGTGACTGCGGTAGTGGGGTGGTGTGTCAGAGACAGTGAGGTTGGCACAGGATAGAGCAGGGTTTAGGGCTGTTGTACATATGGTTGCTATGAGTCGCAGGCGACTCAACAACACATAACAACAACAAGAAGCACAAAATAAAAGGGCACGTAGAGAAAGGCTCCCTTCCATGTTACCGCTATGATCCTGTTTTCTTTCATCTAATAGACCACCTCTGTTCATTGTGTTGGGAGTCCTGGTAGCTTAGTGAGTTAAGTGTTGGACTGTCAGCAGAAAGGTTAGCAGTTTGAACCCACCAGCCACTGTAGAGGAGAAAGATGTGGCACTCTACTTCCTATATAGCCGTGGAAACCCCATAGAACTATTCTTTTTCCTGTAGACTTGTCAGGAGTTGGAATTGACTTGATGGCAATCGGTTTATTGATAGGGCTTTGCAGACTTTCCATAGATAAGCAAACACAAATTATGCCTTCTTCCCACTTTCTTGTTTTGGAAAGTGGAAGTATTGCTTAGAATACTTTACATTTTCACTTTTTTCAGGTATATTTTGCTGTCCATGTTCATCTACTTTTCACAGCTAGTTATTGAACTCCTTAATTGGCCATGCTGTCGCTCAGTAAACACACTATTTCCTATTTTAGAAAGTAGTCTTTTTTAAAAAAAAATTCAACTTTGCATTTTTATGTTTTTCCACAAATAATGGAAACATTTTTAATTAATTTCTTCTTGTTGTTATTGAGAATACATATGATAAAACATTTACCACCCAACAGTCCCATTTTTTCCAAACAGTAGTTATACACTTTGCTTCGTTCCTCGTTGATGGTTGTGGTTGAGGTACTGTGGGTTGGTTGTGGCTCCCAGTGACCTGTGTGACAGAATGACAGTCCAGTCCTCTGTCCATCTCATTGAGGGTCTTTTCTAGTACTGGAAGTTCACTCCACTGGAGAAGACAAGGCAGCACTTTATTCATTTTCACAGCTGCATGGTATTCCTAAGTGGTGGTGGGACCCCCACCTCATTGCAGTCAAGTTGGAACTTAATCATAGCTGACCCTCCAGAGACTGTAAATCACATGGGAGGAGACTGCCCAACTTCCTCCTGCAGAGAAGCCCGTGGATTTGAACTGTCTACTCCCACTTGCTAAAGAAGGTCAAGGACTGCAGCCTTCAATATAGATTGAAGTTCAACATCAAGAAAACAAAGATTCTTACCACTGGCAGCACTATGATAGATGGTGAAGAGATTGAGATTGTTAACAGCTTTGGTTTGTTTGGCTCCACAATCACAAGCTTTGGTACCAGCAACCAGGAAATCAAAAGACAAATTGCACTGGGGAAAGTCTGCTATCAGGGGCCTCTCCAGAGTACTGAAAAGCAACAGTGTCAGTCTGGAGACTAAGGTGTACCTGATTCAGGCCATAGTCTTCACGATTACTTGCTATGCATGAGAAAGCTGGACATTGAGTAAGGATGATAGAAGGAGAATTGTTGCCTTTGGGCTGTGGTGTTGGAGAAGAATGGACTGACAGGAAAACAAACAGATTCATCCTGGAGAGAGTTAAATCAGCCTGCTTCTTGGAGGCAAGGATTCTGAAGCTTCGTCTGACATACTTTTGACATGTTGCAAGGAGGAGTCCTTGGAGAGGGACATCATTCTTGGAAGGGTGGAGGGACAGAACAAGAGAGAAAGACCCTCAATGAGATGGATTGATTCAGTGACTAGGGTAATGAGGGTAGGTGTGTCAGAGACGATAAGGTTGGCACAGGATAGAGCAGAGTTCAGGGTGATTGATTATACATAGGGTCGCTATGAGTCTCAAGTGGCTCGATGGCACATAACAACAGCCACCTCTGGTTACCACTAATATGTATTTGCCTATAGACACAGGGAGCTCTGGTGGCATAGTTCCTCTCTGGCAGGAGAAAAATGAGCACTCTCCTCCAGTGTGACGTACAGCATTGGAAAGCCAATGGAGGGTCAGCTGTAGAGTCAGTTCCAATTTGATGGTGATGAGATGACAGCCTAGATATATAAATTAAGTAGGGACATATAATCTCTCTTCTTTTATAATTTTAGTTGTTTCGCTTACCATGTGTTCAACATTTGATACATATAATCGCATGTATCAAAATTTTCTTTTCAAATTGTGGTAAATGTAGGTATCACCATGAACCCTGTCCTATCTTGTTCCATCCTCATTATCTTTGACACCCTTGAATCCATTGCTGCATTCACTGTGTCAGTCCATCTCCTGGAAGGTCTTCCTCTCTTTCGCTGACTCTCCACCTTTCCAAGTATGATGTCCCTCTCCAGGGAGTAGCCTTTTCTAGCAACATGCTCAAAGTATGTGAGATGAAGCTTTATCATCTTTGTCTCCAAGGAGCAGTCTTTCTGCACCTTCTCAAAGGCATCTGTTCTTTTTTTTTAAATATTTTAATTTATTTTTCATTTCAATGAACATCTACAGAGATTTTGGAATTCCATTCATTCATTGTTGCACCCTTCTCCCCGC